AGTGGCAGTGACGGAACCCGAGGCGAGGAGCGTCGGGGTGCGATCTCCTGGGTTTGTGTGACTCCAATGTACGAGTGTCTCAGTCCCCACCGTTTGTCATCCTAGATCCACAGCCACAAAAAGTCAGGGTTAGAAGCAGCCTTGAGTAGGTGCTTAGTCTGTCTCCACCCCCTAGGCTGTTGCCATCCTCCCAGGTAAGACCACCTGTGCCCAGGTCAATTTTTAACGCCTCTAGAGAATGTCGGTAGTTTGCACTGTGGGAGCGATTCCACCCTGTCCCAGGGGATCTGTCCCGAAAGGAACCGTTCCTAATGCCGGGGGTTTCCGTTGGTATCGAAGCCGAAGCTTTCAGGATGCAGTTCAAAGCTGTTACCTCTCCCGTCCCCGGGAGAGATCGATCCTTTCCTTCCGCCTCTTAGCAGCCTTCCCGTTAAATGGGAGCGCCAGGCGTGCGAGGGACCCTTGGCCTCTCCGTCGCGTTCTCTGACAGTTTTGCAGGTTTAAGCCACTCCGCTGGCTCCTCTAAGTCAGGGCAGAGACCGGCTCGTCGCCTCGGAGCCGAGGTGAATCGCTCGCTGAGGATGCTTGTTCTCCCCAGCTGTACGGGGAGACCCAGGCATCGAGACGCGTCCCCCAGGGACAGCGCGGTTGGTTTCCACTCCAGCCTTTCCTGGGGGCAGATAAGGCGACGTTTCAGACTCCCGTATAAACCTGGCTGTAGCGAGTCCGGCTGTCGCGTTGTGGGCCGCCTAAGTTGGCAGGCTGGCATCAGCAGAGCTGCAGAGAGGGGCTCGGCCGCTCGTCCCGCGTCCAGACTTGGCAGCACTGATTGCTCGTGGTACGCGCAGGGTTTAATGCCTTCCTCCTTCCTTCAGATCATCAAAGACGGGGAGGAGCACGACGATCTCAACGAAGTAGCAAAGCTCTTCAACATCCACGAAGACTGAACTCCGCAGAGGAGGGAGCGGGGCCGCGGCTCCCTGCGCCCCTTCGTCTCGGCCAGCCTCC